TTTCCTCTTCTGGATTGGGGGGAAAAGGCGTGGTCGGCGGGTGAGAGTGCTGAGCGTCCTGCGGGCTTGCCATATTAATGTCCGGCAGGCTTGCCATATGCGTGGCCAGCGGGCTGGAGATAGCCCCGGCTGACGGGCTTGACATCGGCCTGATCAGCGGGCTGGAGATGGCCCCGGCTGGCGGGCTTGCCATATGAACTGCCCGCGGGCTTGCCATCTGAACGTGCAACAGGCTTGCCATAGGAATGGCCGGCGAACTTGACTCGGCGCGGCTGGCAAGCCGACATCTGGGTGGCCGGTAGGCTTGTCTTCGGTGAGGCTGGCGGGCTGGAGAAAGCCCCGGCTGGCAGGCTAGACAACGGCGCAGCCGTCACGCTTCACAGTGGGCGGACTTCTAACCGCGGATGACATACTGGGGAAAAAGGAAAACAAAAGACTGTTCAAAAACGAAAACAAAACACGGGAGAAGGAGCGCCGCTTACTGTTTTGGTCAGCCGTTCTGTCACGTTGCACACACTAGGAACGAAGGAGCGAGGAGACACGGAGTAACTAAATCAAAAGGTTTTTTTATTTACAAAGGCTGGGGATCACAGGACTCGACACATCAGGATGACAGGATGACGTTCAACGGCTGACAAAGAACAAGAACTGGAACACACTTTAAATACACAGGAACTGATGAGGGGAAGACGAGGGACACCTGGAACTAATGACACAATCAACATTGGAAACACCTGGGAACAATGAACTCAAAACACGAGAGACAGAAACTGGGTAACAGAGCACATGGGGAGCAAAGACACGCACAAAACCTGGCCCAGAGTCTGACAATAATATTATGCTTATATTATTTATAAAATGATTTATATATTTTATTACATTATAATTGTCTTAATTTGTTATGTAGTCATTTTTAATTGCATTATATTATTAATTATATTATATAATATTAAAATAATGTAACAAAACAATAACAATGTGATGACATTATTCTTGTAATATTCATAAATGTTATTTATATATCACTTCACGTTACAATTGATTTTACTAAAAGTTTAATTATGTTTGTATTATTTAACAGAATTGTTTTATAAAATTAATTGTTTAAAATAATTGTTAAACGTTAAAAATAATACAATAATATTATATCTCTAATATTAATACATTTTAATGACATTATTTTACATAATTATATAACAAATAAAGACAATACTATTTAATTAAATTTATATTAGTAATTATATCATTAAATATAATTATACATTACATTACATTATACAAGTTTATAATAACATAAATAAATATCTAAATTGTCCAATACACCTGATAATGATCTCGTAGTAGTTTAAAAACAAGTTTTATCTAGATTTTAAACTAGTCTATTTTTGTAGTTTCCAGACACCCCCTAACTGTTCTGAAAATGCTTCATGAACAAAAAGTAAAAAAATTAAATAAATAAAAAAATCATGCCACACAAGGAAAGCATGAAAACTGCTGCTCCAAGCAGCTATAAAGGATTAGAGAAACAGAAAGACAAGCAAAAAAGATGATAATCATTGGAAGGACATGGTGGGTTAAACCCAACCACCTGAGCATTGGAGGAAATGGAAAGGTTTTGCCGATACAGGAGCTGATTTGAGGCCGTCTCCTCTGTTCCTGCGCTATGAAGTACTGCTCCTGAGCCGTCAGATTATTTAGAAGAGGCGTGACACCGCCGGCGTCGGGACGGGTATACGTGCCTCCTCCCAGCTGCTACTGCTGTAATGATTAGGAGCAAGGCTGGGGTTTCTGTCAAGAGAGCAACACGCAGAGAAGGAAAATATATTTCAAAGAACTACAGGGATGGAGGAGAGCATCGATCATGTGAAAGGAATGAGAAAACTGCTAGAAAGATGAGAGGAGTGGAATGAAAGCGAGATAATGCATAGAGTTTAACCAATCTGCTTCCAACTGCACTTAACAATGTTCTTTTTGAGGAAGTATTGAGGAAGAGTATTTTTGATGTAGTAGTTCTGAGGGATTTGTCCTTACTAAACAATACTGCACAAAAAGATTACAACTAATAACTCTGAATGCATATCTTCATCTATTTCCAGAAATGTAACATGATCCAGAAATTATCCACAAATATACTACATAATGCATCATTTCCAGCCCACATGAATGTTCATCTGCAATTTTTCTTCATTGCAGGTGAGAAATCATTAGTGTCCGATTAAACCCTCAAGCTCTGATTTCATTATGACTTTGAAGAGGGTTTGTCATCTCTTTTACATTAACTTTATTTAACATTTATAATAGCAAAAACTATAGACAAACATTTATTTTTTCTATTTTTTTAATTTATTGTTTATTTTTATTCTATTTTAAATGTATATATTTATAACTGCAAAAATAAATATTTATTATATTACAACATACTTTCGGTTTCTGTTTTCTTGGTGCTGTTGATTTGGTAGCAATGAAGGAAAGACTATTACAAAAATACATACATCCAAAAACCATTAATGAATGACTGTCATGCCATTCAGTTCTATTGTCTTAACCAGCTCTTACTAAGATGCCCAGCCTCAGGAACGAAAAAAGAGGGACATATAGAGATAAACAGAAACCGGAAGAAAGTTAACTGTTATACTGCCTGATTCCTTTATGGCCAGTCAAGATGCCCATTGGTTATGCATTATGTTTAAACTGGGGACAAAAAACTGTAGAAACACCAGGCAGGCCGGCACGCAACCATGAATCAAGAGTTCAAGCTTTAATTTAAGAAAACCCATCCCCGAAGCCCAAGAGCAGCCCATCTCTTGATGCCACAAATCAAGCCAGTTTGTGTATAGCTATGAATTACTGGGAAGACACTGAGCTTTGTGATGATTTAAACAAAGGCTGGGGATCACAGGACTCGACACATCAGGATGACAGGATGACGTTCAACGGCTGACAAAGAACAAGAACTGGAACACACTTTAAATACACAGGAACTGATGAGGGGAAGACGAGGGACACCTGGAACTAATGACACAATCAACATTGGAGACACGTGGGAACAATGAACTCAAAACACGAGAGACAGAAACTGGGTAACAGAGCACATGGGGAGCAAAGACACGCACAAAACCTGGCCCAGAGTCTGACAATAATATTATGCTTATATTATTTATAAAATGATTTATATATTTTATTACATTATAATTGTCTTAATTTGTTATGTAGTCATTTTTAATTGCATTATATTATTAATTATATTATATAATATTAAAATAATGTAACAAAACAATAACAATGTGATGACATTATTCTTGTAATATTCATAAATGTTATTTATATATCACTTCACGTTACAATTGATTTTACTAAAAGTTTAATTATGTTTGTATTATTTAACAGAATTGTTTTATAAAATTAATTGTTTAAAATAATTGTTAAACGTTAAAAATAATACAATAATATTATATCTCTAATATTAATACATTTTAATGACATTATTTTACATAATTATATAACAAATAAAGACAATACTATTTAATTAAATTTATATTAGTAATTATATCATTAAATATAATTATACATTACATTACATTATACAAGTTTATAATAACATAAATAAATATCTAAATTGTCCAATACACCTGATAATGATCTCGTAGTAGTTTAAAAACAAGTTTTATCTAGATTTTAAACTAGTCTATTTTTGTAGTTTCCAGACACCCCCTAACTGTTCTGAAAATGCTTCATGAACAAAAAGTAAAAAAATTAAATAAATAAAAAAATCATGCCACACAAGGAAAGCATGAAAACTGCTGCTCCAAGCAGCTATAAAGGATTAGAGAAACAGAAAGACAAGCAAAAAAGATGATAATCATTGGAAGGACATGGTGGGTTAAACCCAACCACCTGAGCATTGGAGGAAATGGAAAGGTTTTGCCGATACAGGAGCTGATTTGAGGCCGTCTCCTCTGTTCCTGCGCTATGAAGTACTGCTCCTGAGCCGTCAGATTATTTAGAAGAGGCGTGACACCGCCGGCGTCGGGACGGGTATACGTGCCTCCTCCCAGCTGCTACTGCTGTAATGATTAGGAGCAAGGCTGGGGTTTCTGTCAAGAGAGCAACACGCAGAGAAGGAAAATATATTTCAAAGAACTACAGGGATGGAGGAGAGCATCGATCATGTGAAAGGAATGAGAAAACTGCTAGAAAGATGAGAGGAGTGGAATGAAAGAGAGATAATGCATAGAGTTTAACCAATCTGCTTCCAACTGCACTTAACAATGTTCTTTTTGAGGAAGTATTGAGGAAGAGTATTTTTGATGTAGTAGTTCTGAGGGATTTGTCCTTACTAAACAATACTGCACAAAAAGATTACAACTAATAACTCTGAATGCATATCTTCATCTATTTCCAGAAATGTAACATGATCCAGAAATTATCCACAAATATACTACATAATGCATCATTTCCAGCCCACATGAATGTTCATCTGCAATTTTTCTTCATTGCAGGTGAGAAATCATTAGTGTCCGATTAAACCCTCAAGCTCTGATTTCATTATGACTTTGAAGAGGGTTTGTCATCTCTTTTACATTAACTTTATTTAACATTTATAATAGCAAAAACTATAGACAAACATTTATTTTTTCTATTTTTTTAATTTATTGTTTATTTTTATTCTATTTTAAATGTATATATTTATAACTGCAAAAATAAATATTTATTATATTACAACATACTTTCGGTTTCTGTTTTCTTGGTGCTGTTGATTTGGTAGCAATGAAGGAAAGACTATTACAAAAATACATACATCCAAAAACCATTAATGAATGACTGTCATGCCATTCAGTTCTATTGTCTTAACCAGCTCTTACTAAGATGCCCAGCCTCAGGAACGAAAAAAGAGGGACATATAGAGATAAACAGAAACCGGAAGAAAGTTAACTGTTATACTGCCTGATTCCTTTATGGCCAGTCAAGATGCCCATTGGTTATGCATTATGTTTAAACTGGGGACAAAAAACTGTAGAAACACCAGGCAGGCCGGCACGCAACCATGAATCAAGAGTTCAAGCTTTAATTTAAGAAAACCCATCCCCGAAGCCCAAGAGCAGCCCATCTCTTGATGCCACAAATCAAGCCAGTTTGTGTATAGCTATGAATTACTGGGAAGACACTGAGCTTTGTGATGATGCATAATATATTATATAGGCTCAGTGTCACATTATATTACCATGCATACATATATTTATGAGGAGAAGCTGAGCATGTATGTATCTGGACGTCCAGCAAAGGAAATGCTCTTTGTGTTATAAAGGAATCTGCAACACAAATGTCGACGGTAAACTGCATGACACCACAGGGAATCAGTCTAATAAAGTTCAGAGAGGTGACGATGGGTTACAGCTCTGTGTGCTGCTGGAAATATATAATAAGTTATCGAACTTTAAGTAAAACATCAATACCGGAGCGTATTACAAATAAAGCCTTAACAGGATTTCAACTAATTTCTATGTGAAAATCAGTAGAGAGCTTCAAATTATATTGGCCGTATTTCAAAGGCCTTTCTGTTCTGTGAATCACAACACAAGACGGATGAATATCAATAATGAGGGTGCGAGGTTTCAACAAATACAGAGTTATGAAGCCTTTTACCTCATCCTCCATTCAGCTATGAGGATTGATGCTCCTTTTGAGCAGGTGTAAGAACTTAAATAAGGCTCAGAACTAGTGTAATGAGACATGCTTTAGAAAACTCAAATGGGATTATTTGAATGTGCATGCCTTTTATTTGCTCGATGTTGTTCAGTTTTATATTGCAGACAATTTACTCAAATGTGAACATCTGATATATAATTAGCAGTGAATATTATCACACCCATCTGTTTAAAAAGACAGAAACCTCCAAAACTGTTTTCTATGATGTCAAATCACCATTTTTATCTTAAATCAGACTGATGTGAATTCTTGAGCAACAATTTACCATTTGCTCTGTCTCATATTTAGCAATCAAAAAGCCAATGGATGATAGAGACACAACTTATGTCCTCATAAAGTTGGCCAAATACTTTTATATACAAAAGACACATCACAAGGAGGCTCCTGATACGCAAACATTACTGATAATGCTTCAGAAAGGGAACACAAACAGGCTACAATTATCTCTCTTTTGGCTACAATTATCATCATAAAAGAAGTATTACAAATCTTCTGAAGACACACTTGTTTACGGTACCTTATGACTAGGCCTCTTTAAAGAAAACCATGGTATTAGCAAGTGTAAATGAGCAAAACTGAACATTTGTACCACATTTTAAGGAACATTTGGTTAGGGGAGCAAAGAAATACAGTCATTTTCATCTACAACTATGTGAATGACTGGTTCTCCTTCATCCAGAGGGGAGGTGACAATGCAGGATGACAACAGGAGCAAAAGAGAAAGAAAGAGACAGGATTAGATGTTATAGATGGGTGCCTAGACGCAATCAGAGAAAGAGCAAAGCGTTTATGCCCCGCACACTTAAATGATTTAGAAATATTCCTTGAAAACAGTTAATTGGGCTGTGTTTATATAGGACCACTTGAAAGGATGAGTGGCCCACCCACCAAAAAAGGAAGGAATGGACTCAAAGAGAATAATTTATTTTGAAATAAGTTAACAGTAAGGGATGCGGATAATTGGTTTCATGCTTTAACTTAGAGAGCAGTGGATGCTTTTAAAAAGCACTGTATGTGTTTGATGGTTTGCTCTAAACAGCTCTGAACAATTGCTTTCCAGAACCAATAAGTGACTTAGACATGCATTCCATTAAAGAGACTCAAACGCTAGTCATTACTTTGAAAAGATTAAAATCACAAACAGGATGCATTGCATGCAATATAAATTATAAGAAGGATTCAGTAGCCTTGAAGCTAAAAATTAGCATTCTGGAGGAGGAATATATATAAATATATATATATATAACTGAAAATTACTGTCAGTGTGAATGCACCATAAAGCTCACTTATTGCATATAAATAACACGCAGTGCTATTATTGGTACAGAGACGGGGGAGTTAAAACATGTTTGCGCTCCTCATATGTACCATTCTAAACAGACAATTTTGAGCATTAAAACAGCTTGTGTTGCTTCACATGAAAGTAAGGTGCTCTTGAACTTCACTGTGCATCTCCATATGATGGCTTATAAATGTTTTGATGCTTCAAATATAGAAAAAAAAATGGGCTTTGCATGCTAAAGTGGTGCAACTGTTTAATAAAACTGTGCATGTTTTCCACCCGTGTGGGCTATTTTCCATAATGCATCAGAATGCACACTTGCATTGTCCTTGTTGACTAATCCTGCAGATTTGGGTTTGTTATGATGGTGAGAGAGACAGAGAAGCACAATGGGAAGCACACAGCGCTTAACCAGAAATAAAAAATCTCACAGCACCGCCGTCTCCTGTGGCATTTCAACGCTCCCTCATTAAATCACAGCACAGCTCTATATTAATGACCTGTCACGACCACTAACATTTATTTCATGTGAATTCATTCAAATCAAGGGAATTTTTTACAAATGGCACCCACCGACCACAGGCTCGTTTTTTCGTTTTTCTTCATTGAATTTAAGTCAGCAAAGCCCCGGCGCTTTGGCTTCGCACAGAGAAAGATGAAAAATGGCTATATTTATGGTGTTCGGGAACGTTATTCTCACAGGCACATTGTTCAAGGCATTAAGGAATATCTTTGCAAATGTGAGGGTAGACACTGATGATTAATCTTTGTGGAGAGTAAATCTTCACAATGCTACTGTACACATACTCTAACATTTCTCATCAAACCCTTCAGGACCGAATTATCTAAGCTCTATACTTAATTTTATACACTGAAAAAAAAAAAACATTTTGAAACTATTCACTCGGAAATTGCTAGTAAATTTCACAAAGAATTACAAAGAAAAACTGAAAATTTTCAAAAACATACTCCAGTCCATTTGTTATATTTAGAACTTCGACAGAAAATACAGTGCAATTTCATAGCTCAATACTCTTGTATTATATCAAAAATGTTTTCATTTGAGACAAAGTTGATGCTTAAATGAAACCTAACTTAGTCTAACTAGCTCTCCTTAGATTTAAAAGAGCAAAATTTGAGCAACAGAAATGTTGTCTGAGATCTCAGTCCACATAAAATATCACATTCAGCACTGTAAAATAAAAAGCTCTATGATGTCAAATCACCATTTTTATCTTAAATCAGACTGATGTGAATTCTTGAGCAACAATTTACCATTTGCTCTGTCTCATATTTAGCAATCAAAAAGCCAATGGATGATAGAGACACAACTTATGTCCTCATAAAGTTGGCCAAATACTTTTATATACAAAAGACACATCACAAGGAGGCTCCTGATACGCAAACATTACTGATAATGCTTCAGAAAGGGAACACAAACAGGCTACAATTATCTCTCTTTTGGCTACAATTATCATCATAAAAGAAGTATTACAAATCTTCTGAAGACACACTTGTTTACGGTACCTTATGACTAGGCCTCTTTAAAGAAAACCATGGTATTAGCAAGTGTAAATGAGCAAAACTGAACATTTGTACCACATTTTAAGGAACATTTGGTTAGGGGAGCAAAGAAATACAGTCATTTTCATCTACAACTATGTGAATGACTGGTTCTCCTTCATCCAGAGGGGAGGTGACAATGCAGGATGACAACAGGAGCAAAAGAGAAAGAAAGAGACAGGATTAGATGTTATAGATGGGTGCCTAGACGCAATCAGAGAAAGAGCAAAGCGTTTATGCCCCGCACACTTAAATGATTTAGAAATATTCCTTGAAAACATTTAATTGGGCTGTGTTTATATAGGACCACTTGAAAGGATGAGTGGCCCACCCACCAAAAAAGGAAGGAATGGACTCAAAGAGAATAATTTATTTTGAAATAAGTTAACAGTAAGGGATGCGGATAATTGGTTTCATGCTTTAACTTAGAGAGCAGTGGATGCTTTTAAAAAGCACTGTATGTGTTTGATGGTTTGCTCTAAACAGCTCTGAACAATTGCTTTCCAGAACCAATAAGTGACTTAGACATGCATTCCATTAAAGAGACTCAAACGCTAGTCATTACTTTGAAAAGATTAAAATCACAAACAGGATGCATTGCATGCAATATAAATTATAAGAAGGATTCAGTAGCCTTGAAGCTAAAAATTAGCATTCTGGAGGAGGAATATATATAAATATATATATATATAACTGAAAATTACTGTCAGTGTGAATGCACCATAAAGCTCACTTATTGCATATAAATAACACGCAGTGCTATTATTGGTACAGAGACGGGGGAGTTAAAACATGTTTGCGCTCCTCATATGTACCATTCTAAACAGACAATTTTGAGCATTAAAACAGCTTGTGTTGCTTCACATGAAAGTAAGGTGCTCTTGAACTTCACTGTGCATCTCCATATGATGGCTTATAAATGTTTGGATGCTTCAAATATAGAAAAAAAAATGGGCTTTGCATGCTAAAGTGGTGCAACTGTTTAATAAAACTGTGCATGTTTTCCACCCGTGTGGGCTATTTTCCATAATGCATCAGAATGCACACTTGCATTGTCCTTGTTGACTAATCCTGCAGATTTGGGTTTGTTATGATGGTGAGAGAGACAGAGAAGCACAATGGGAAGCACACAGCGCTTAACCAGAAATAAAAAATCTCACAGCACCGCCGTCTCCTGTGGCATTTCAACGCTCCCTCATTAAATCACAGCACAGCTCTATATTAATGACCTGTCACGACCACTAACATTTATTTCATGTGAATTCATTCAAATCAAGGGAATTTTTTACAAATGGCACCCACCGACCACAGGCTCGTTTTTTCGTTTTTCTTCATTGAATTTAAGTCAGCAAAGCCCCGGCGCTTTGGCTTCGCACAGAGAAAGATGAAAAATGGCTATATTTATGGTGTTCGGGAACGTTATTCTCACAGGCACATTGTTCAAGGCATTAAGGAATATC